GAGTTGATCTTATCTTAGGAAGGTCCTATTGAGTTATATGCAAGTATTCACACTGTGTGGGAGTTAATTTTCTTTTGAGATGGTTTAATAACAATATCCTTGTCGTCTTTTTGCCCTTGAGTCCAGGCAGCATGTTACGGAAACACTGAGCCAACGTCTGGGACACAACAGCAAACAGAGAGCCTATGTCAGTTTCACAGCAATGTGCAACAGGTGGCCAATAAGCTGAGGAGTGTCAGCAACCGCTGTCAGTGTTTCCTCTAGGTTTTTTTTTCAGCTGCCACCACCCCCCACTTTATGTAAAAGAGATCACAGAACAACATTTATAACAATAATGTGTGAAATATGTTTATACAGTTGTAGTAACTGTGAAGAATGGCGATAAATATATATATATGTCCTCAGGTCCAATAGGGGCGCAATGAGAAAGTTCTGACCTGTTTGGGAATTCAATAGATGGGTAAAACAAGAGTCAAGTCCTGTGTACTATCTGAGATGGTGTGATTGAGCTATGCACTGTGTTCATCAGGAACAAATAAACTTCCCCATGTTCAGCAAGAAGTCTCCCATAAGTTATTACATAAATGGCGACGAGGATAAAGTTACGGTGGATGCCTCGTGTGAGTGCAGACGAATGAGTAAGACTCGCTGCTAAGTTGCGAAGTTAGCATAACAAACCGGACTTTCTAAGCAAGAAAAACAAGCATGGCGGCGGCGATGATGGGAAGCACCGCTCCTTTTGATAGCCAAATCCAGACGGGGAGGAATATTGTGAAGTGCGCCATCATTATTTTGAAGCTAATGACATCGACGATACAGCTCGACGCAAAGCTATCTTGCTGAGTTCAGTGGGCAGTCAGACTTACAGCCTAATGAGGAACTTAGTCAGCCCCGCCAAGCCAGGAGACAAGACGTTTGATGAACTTGTCAAGTTATTGCAGGACCATTTCAACCCCAAACCCAGCGAGATTGTGCAGCGTTTCAAGTTTAATTCCAGAAACAGAAAGCATGGAGAAACAGTTATGGAATGTATTGCTGTTCTGAGGAAATTAGCACAAGACTGCAACTATGGAGACAAGTTATCAGAGATGATACGTGACAGACTGGTCTGTGGCATCAGAGATGACCGCATACAGTGCCGACTGTTGTCAGAGCCGGATTTGACCTTCGACAAGGCACTGAAGTTGGCTCAGGCCATTGAGACAGCGAGCAAAGATGTAAAGGACTTACAATCTTTGGAGTTTGCACCCTCACACACGAGGGCACCTCAAGCAGTGCACAAAATGTAAGCAGACCCCCAATAGGCAGCAGCATCAGCATAAGGCTTGCTACAGGTGTGGAGGTGAGCAGCACAGGGCTGGGGACTGTGGGTTTATTAAAGAAACCTGTCACAAGTGTGGTAAAGTTGGCCACATTCAGAAAGTGTGTAGGTCAAAAGGCTCAGCTAGTAATTCAAAGACTAGAGGGGGTGGAGTACAAACAGGTAAGCCAGGGAGAACTCAGGGAGCAAATTATGTCAGACAGGGGGAGGATGACAAAGATGGTATGGATACAGATGAAGTCATGTTCACACTGTACAAAATAGATGAACTTGATGTACCAGCAGAAGAGCCATTTATATAGACATTGACAGTTAATGAGACAGAGACACAGTTTGAGATGGACTCAGGTTGTGGGGTAACAGTAATGAACCACTCGGTGTTCAAAACCTTAGGGGGAAAAGAGGCACCAAAGCTACGCAAATGTCAGGTGAGACTCAGAACATACACAGGGCATAGAGTAAAAGTCTTGGGAGCAGCTGTGGTTAAAGTGCAGCACAAAGGGCTAGTGCAAGACTTACCTGTGGTAGCTGTAGCAGGTTCAGGCCCCAATCTGGTAGGCAGGTACTGGATAAGGAGGCTAGGTTTACAGTGGAGATCAGTACCCCAGATCCATCACGTCCAGGAAGAAACTTCAGAAGAGGTACATGGGACACCAGATCTCGTTTCATCAAGCCCAGCGATATTCCAACGGACCATAGAGGGACTGCTACAGGGCATCCCTCGTGTGACCATCTTCCTGGATGACATTCTCCTCACAGGGAAAGACGACCAAGAGCACCTGCAGACTCTGACCATGGTGCTGAAACGGCTACAGGAAGCTGGTCTCCGACTTAAAAGAGCCAAATGTTTATTCATGAATGACAAAGTGATGTTTCTGGGTCATAAAGTGGATGCAACAGGACTGCACCCAGTCCATGAGAAGGTGCAAGCTATCCAAGAGGCACCCACACCTTCAAATGTGACAGAGTTGAAGGCATACCTGGGACTGTTAAACTATAACACTAACTATAACAAGTTCCTGCCCAATCTGTCAACTGTTCTTGCCCCAGTGCACAAACTGCTACAAAAAGACACAAAGTGAGGAGGAGGAGAGGCACAACAAGTTGCTAATAAAAAATCAAAAGAAATGATGCAGTCCGCTGAAGTGCTTGTGCATTATGATCCAGAGAAGGACATTGTGCTGTCATGTGACGCATCACCGTATGGAGTAGGTGCCATGTTGTCACATCACATGCCAGATGGAACTGAGAGACCCATAGGATTCACTTCACATTAAACGCAGCTGAGAAGAATTATTCACAACTGGATAAGGAAGGACTTGCGGTGATGTTTGGAATAAAACGTTTCCACAAGTACATTTATGGATGGAAATTCACTATAGTGACAGATCACAAGCCCTTGTTGTCACTTTTCAGTGAGATGCGAGCCGTACCACAGATGGCCTCACCCAGAATCCAAAGGTGGGCGGTAACCTTGAGAGCCTGCGAATACACAATAGTGTATAAAGAAGGGAAGTATCACTGCAATGCGGATGCCTTGAGCTTGCCTTCCTTTTCCAGAAAAAGTGGAAGTGGAGAGGCCAGAAGAGAGAGTTCTCATGCTGGAGAGCTCTGACATCACTCTGGTGACAGCTGATCAAGTGAAAGCATGGACAGACAAAGATCCAGTACTCTCAAGGGTGCGGGAGATGGTACGGAATGGCTGGTCATCAAAACTGAAAGGGGAGGAATTTGCCCCCTATGAGGTGAGGAAACATGAACTCAGTATCCAGAATGGGTGTGTGTTATGGGGCTCGAGAGTGATTGTGCCACATACAGGTCAAGAAAATGTTGAGACAGCTTCATCAGTGCCACCCAGGAGTGTCCAGAATGAAGGCACTGGCTAGGAGTTATGTATGGTGGCCAAAGTAGGACAAAGAGGTGGAGGATACCGTAAAGGGCTGTACAACATGTCAAGAGCACCGCAACATTCCTGCACCAGCTCCATTACACCCCTGGGATTGGCCTGAAAACCCTTGGAGCCGTATCCATGTGGATTATGCCGGACCGTTTATGGAAAAAAAAAATGTTGTGCTCGTCGATGCACATTCAAAATGGATGGATGTGTATCCAGTGAACTCTGCCGCTTCAGCCACCACAATTGAGTGCCTGCGTACCAGTTTCAGTAACCATGGACTGCCAGAGTTGTTGGTGTCTGAAAATGGCACTTGTTTCACCAGCACAGAGTTCAAAGACTTCTTTAAAAAGAATGGTATCCGTCATGTGACCTCTGCACCCTATCATGTAACGGGTTAGCAGAGAGAGGGGTACAAACATTCAAGAGAATGATGAAGAAATGTCCAGAGGGCACACTGACAGCTAAGGTAGCCAGAGTGTTATTTAACTACAGAGTGACACCGCACACTACAATAGGTCTGTCCCCAGCAGACCTGCTTCTCGTGAGGAAGCTACATTGCACACTGGATTCAATCCACCCAGACTTAAGCAGGAAGGTGAAGGAAAACAAGAAAGACAAATAAAAGATCACAACAAAAAGGCAAAAGGACACTGGTTCAAAACAGGAGACTCAGTGCTGACCCAGAACTTCAGTATAGGACCCTGGTGGATCCCGGGAATTATTGAGTCGGTGACTGGACCAGTGTCATACAAAGTGATGCTGGGTGATGGGAGAGTAGTGAGGAGACATTTGGACCAGATTCACACTCATCACCAGAGACCAGAAAAATGCAGTCAGGCCGACGAAAAAAATGAAGCATGGCTGGAAGCTGAGGAGGTGGTACTCAGTGGTAACAAGTTGGAGGAGCCAGCAGCTATTGAAGCTGTTGGAAGCTCAGAGACTGAACAAAGAACTGTAACAAATGCAACTCCAGTGACTAGTATAATATTAACGTCAGTTGGACAATACAGCAGTTTAAAGGACCAGTGTGTAGGATTTAGTGGCATCTTGAGGTGTCGTTACAGATTACAACTGCCTTGTTTCACCCTCCCCCTTCCAATGCAAACACTTTTACAATAAAACCCGATGAAGCTACACAGCTCAATTAACAGTTGAACTGGTAGTTGAACTGGTATTGAGGATCTTGAGGAGGACGATGTGAGCCGACGACACATCTTGCTCACTCTTGTTTTTGTTACTGGGGGAAAACTTCTATATCTGATTGATGCTCCATCACTGTTCCAGTTGCCCATCCTCGAAGTGGAAAGAGATCGGACAATTCAGCAGAGTCATGTAATTGCGACTTCATGACATTTTATAAATTTCAAGCGTCCCTCCCCTCTCAACATAAAAATTGTTCCTTTGCATTTTGAATGTGTTTTGCACTTTACATGGATAACTTGTGTGGACTTACCAGAGGTAGTGAACGTACTGACACCTGGGAAGGTCATCTAAATACTCCAACTCCATTGAGCATGCTCCAAAGTCCAGCCCAATACCACTATCACCTACTTAGTTAACTACAAAAGCCAGAGCATCTATATCATTAGGTAAAAGCCGGATGTTAGGCAGCTCCAGATTGGGTCTCGTACGCACAACCTGCTCAGCCAGTTGGTGGTCCTGGCTTTCTTGGACACAATGGCAAAGCTCCAATATCTGACAAGATGTAAGAAGGTAGAATCAGTAAAGAAAAAAACAGGGAGAAGACAATTATATGTAAATTATACATCTGTTTATCAGAATTCACTTCAGCTCATGTTCTACCTTTGGTCCAGTCAGTGTTGCTGTGACACAGGTTTTTTTTAGCAGTTTCAGAACGAGGGCTTGTCGTTTTTGGACCCAATTTTGTCCTCCTGTTCCACCAGACGTCCTGGCTAATTGAACTAAGGCTGGAGTGCATTGTGGGGAAGCCAGGCCACATACATACAGATACAGGGAGTCAGTAAAAACTGTCCTCTGTTCTGACTTGGTCATCCAGCGAGTTTTCAGACTGAATCTGAGAGAGCAATAAGGAAGAGGATAGAGTAAAGTCAATATTTATTGGACTAAGTTATATTGCTGTATAGAGGACACTTCCTAGCCTTTCCTGCCATATGAGAATAACTCACACCACCTGCTTGGTGATCATCAGAGAGATGTTGTTATTTGTATGGCTGTTGTAACATGATGCTTTCAGAACTGCCATACGGAACCCGCTAGTTTCACAGCTGTGGGATCTTTATGACACAAACCTTGTAATGAACTGCCACAGTAGTAGGATATAAGCCAGCTGACTGCAGTTTTAACTGCTTTTGACAGCAGATTGATTAGGCAACATCCCTGCACTGCCATGGTTGCAATTTTAGCATATACAGGGTATGACAGTTAAAAAAAAAACCCCACAGACTCAAACCTCGGATGGGGCAGTTATATATGGCATGTGTCTCCACTACATTCATTTAATGTGCATATTTATAGGGGTGTAAACAGGGTTTTATAGCTTTTACAGTAAAATAAAAGGTGTTAATTAAATGACACACACACACACACACACTGGGTTTTCTTATATTTGAGCACCCAGTTGACTGGTGACATAGCAGCATTCCCTCTACAAGGAAAATATGTGGCTAATTTGGTCAATATTGAGATTTTTAACACAGTTACTGATTGACTTTGGAAACATCATTCACTAAACTTTCACTAAATAAAATGTCCTTCTAACAGTGAATTTCAATTCAGTCTTGGCTCAAGCTGAACTAAACATGCGAGTGAGTAACCTGAAAGTGAGTTTGGGCTTTTAGGGAGGGGTTTGCTGGATTTATAACACAAGACAAAATAAGAGCATTATTGTGAAACGGATGCAGCACAATAACTTTTTTTATCTCAATTATCATGCTGAGATAAAAACTGTTTCCATAATCGTTGGAAGTCAAAATTGTAATTGCAAATAAAATGTAATTAATTGCCCTGCCCTAAATGTGGCAGTACAGGCCTCCTGCTGTGTCATGTCCCACCCTAATCCCTCTCTGCTGACCCCCTGAGCCACCACTGCTGTGATTGGACCATTCACTTTGAGCCCGCTTCAGCACATTTGTGGTCTCCTTTAGCACATTTATGGTCTCCTTTTAAGGAAGAGGGTCAGAGATAAAGTCATAATGAAAAATATAAAATAAGTTGCAGTCTTCTACATTCATCACTTGCGCCTGTTGACAGGGGGTTCTGTCAATAGGCACAAACTAAATACTTAAAAATGACTGTAATTGTGTAAAAAAAAAGCTATAGTTAATTCTAATTATAACTGATTCCATCTACACGACTGAGTTCAATGGATACTATGACTGCCATTAAATAGTGCCAACTTTTCACCTTCAGGGAGGCCACCTGATCGATAGCTTCATAGAGGAAGACTGCAATTGCCCTGATAAATATAACCATGGTCATTTCCAGTTCTGTTTGGCTTCTCTGAATTCATTTCCTTACCTCTTCCTGAGCTGAGTGTCACTAACATCCTGACTGGTCATAATCCTGAGCGCAAGCAAAAACTCCTGTATCGTCAGATGAATGAAGCAGTAGGAGTTGACAGGTGTCCCGTCCTCACGTCTGATCTCCATCTGACAGGAAGATATGGACAAACGTGATATTTATTATGTCACTAACAACAGTCTTCAGCTACGTTAATGTAAAAATTGGCCAGAGAGTGATGTCAGGGTAAAGTTGGTACAGTATGTGTTTATCATTTTGTGAGCACGAGCGTGTTAAGATATGTTTGCAGCAGTATTACATAGTTTTTTAGGTGTGAGGATGTGCAATCAGAGAGGTGAATATATTAAACCAAAGAACCGAAGACCATGAATGTCAATGTTGCCATAGGTCATATTTGCATCTGAATTTTGAAACATGAATTACAACAATAAATCCTTGTTTTAATATCGAAGTGAAGGAGGGAGTCATTTATAGAAAGGAACTAAGGTTCATTTGAAGGAGCCAGGCCATATAATAAAGGGCGCAGCATCTGTCTAATCTCCATCTGACAATCAGTCTATGAATACTCATCAACAATCAGACAACACAATTTCTTTCAGTCTTATACTGCTGTTCTTAATGTCATCTAAGGCCAGAGATAAAGCTCGTAGTGTGCTGTGTCCATTTGCACTGTTGGTTGTGCACATCCCTGTGACACATCTGCGTGGTTAAACAGCAAGTATATCTCCAGCTTAACAGGTATCAGCCTCTCCATTTTCTTATTGTGGGTTAAAACCAAATATATAGAAGCAACCACAGTGAGGTGCTCAGATTACGAGCTGCCACCAACAGAACTCATGGCATTACAATTAACTTCACCTTTTACTGCTCTGCTCTTGTTATACCACTTGCTCCACGTCCATAGAGGAACTGATTATAGTTGTTAATGCTACAGAATAGTGCAGATATTACAGCTATAGGCATTTTTGGCAGAGGAGGGTCAATGTAACAATGCAATCCAAAGGGCTCTTGTGGAGATGTAGTAATTAAAGGCAAATAAGCGGTCTAAATTCTGAGTTTGGCACACTGAGCAAACCAAGTTATGGCTCAAAGAAAGTATGCCAAAAGTTGCCCACAGACATGTAGAGCTCATTCACACATACTGGACAACCATGTCTGACCTGTGAGAGGAGTCCCGTCCTGATTGAAAACTTCAAAACATCCTGAGGAATGTCTTCTTCCATGAAGAGGATCCTGCTTTCCTCTAAGCCTTTCCAGGCCAGCTGACTCAGCTCACACAGCTCAGATCGATACTGACTCAGCATATACACAGTACTGCAGCGAGGGACAGAAAACAAATTCATTCATTTGTATTTAATCAATTGGTCCTTATTGGCTATGTGAAACTATATTGAAACGCCTTACAACTCTTTCGAGAGGGTTTCACTTAGTAAAATAGTAAACTGCATTGAACAGCTAGGAGTCCTCTGAATTCAGTACAATCAAACTGTACTGACAGTAAAACTATATGTTATGAATGTCGTGTCAGTGGTGTGAAATGGTGTTGTGTTTGGTACTCTTCTCAGCCTTCACCTCTGTGGCGGTGTCTTTGGCATGTCATTGCTTCCTCTTTTGTCAGGGTCACGGCTCAGGAATGCACCAATAACAGTGAGGTAGACCTGTGTAAGGGTGGAGGGTATTTGGGCTTGTGTAGCAAGTAGCTGGGTTCTACCATTTGTTACATCTTCACTCCCTCTTCTTCTTCCTCCTTGATGTACAGTCTGTGCATGATTCCCTCCTTTACTGTCCTCTTCTCCTCTTCCTCCTGCCACCTGTATTCTTTTTTCTTCTTTTTCTCTCACTTTTTCACCTGTGTCTCTCCCTCCCAGTAAATGCTCCAGGCAGATGCAGCAGATGTTGCAGAGTGCAGGGAGGGATGACATGGCAAGGAAGTGTCACGTGGTAAGGGTTAAATCAATGACATCTCCAGCATGATAGGTGACCACCACATTACATCCTGGAAGAAGCTGGTGATTTAACAACACAGAGATAAGGTCTGTGACAGGCACAGGCTTTTCTGGGTCCAGTAGCTCTCTCTGCTCTTTCTTTTGCCTGGTGAGTTTGCTGTGAAACTCATCAAAGCCATTGAGCACCCAACAGATTTGCTCTGGATTGGTAAGGAGGTAATCCACAATGGCTCAAAACACAGAATATATGTACAATGAAAGAATGACAGAGAAAATGTATCAGTAATGTTCACTGGTGGCTATGATTTGTTTATTACAACTTTTCGACATTTAAGTGTGTTTAAAATGCCATTTTGATAAATATTTCCAGGAACAACGAAAATACAGCCTTTAACTGGTGGACATATTGAATCCTCTGACCATACTACTAATGGACAACCCATATTATTGTAAGCAACCCATTTCCTCACAATGTATTATTATAACATATATATATATATATATAGAAAACAGCATTTTTTTGGTTGTGAATTGAATTTCTGCTGCTTTACTGCTGCTAATTTCACATCAGAAAGGTCCTGATTTATAAAGGTCTGGATTGATAAAGGTACTGATTTATAAAGATACTGATCTTGTATTGCCACCTGCATACATTTTTGCGGTTGCTTCCTGGAGGGAGATATTGTCGGAACAGCAACTCAGACTGGGAGAGAGGGCAGGACAATAAGTTGAGCTGACGAAACTCTAGCAGTACAAACAGGTAGGATGAAGGGATAGGGCCCTGGATGATAGGGGTAGGGAACAGAAATAGAGAGAGTGAGGGAGAGACAAAATGAGAGAATAAACCAAGCCTATAAGGAAAAGGTAACTGGGAACTTCGCTAATTTTACCCATTAAAGTCATTTAAAGTCTCTTCTAGGAGGAGTATTTATGCAAATGTTTGTGTCTCCAGAGGAGCTGTGTGAAATCTGCTAAATGTTTCAGTGGCGATTAGGTCTGAAGAAGTCTCAAAATAAACAAAATCTGGGGGTGTGAAGCTAGGAAGAAGAGAACTTACCAGACCTCTGTAGCCCGCTCCTCATCTCCGACTGAACTGTTGGCAGATAGATTGCCAGACTTTGAAAAGGAAGAACAATGTGTGTAATAAAAACAATTAAACTTTCCATTGTGAGTCTGACAATGTTATAAGAGTGTATTTCTACATTGATGGAGTACTCGTAAGAAAAAAGCGTATACGTTCTAATATATAACTTCCATGCTTTGTTATCCTGACCTGATTCAAGAAAACAAATACTGAGTCGATCTCATACTGAGTGCTGATCCAAAATGAATACAGGTTTAGCCACAGCCTTATATTAAAATGTATTAATTCAGATAAGCTTTATCAAAAACGTACTTAACTCTACCAGGAACCTTTAAATGTGTGGGTTTTTAAAAGTTTGGACAGTATTTGGACATCCGGTTTTCATCCCCAGCATCAACAAAACAAGAGGCTCTAAAGGCTTTGTTTTCTTATGCTTATCATGGAGACATTTCATCTTTTTCATTCCACACATTCTTCTTTATTGTCAAAACCCAGCGTCTACATTACCCACAATGCAACCAGACCGCAGACAGGTTGGTCCGCAATTAAGGTGTGTTCTACTGGTAGTATGGGGGTTGAGCATCTAGCCTCAAGCACAGATGAGGAGCAGCAGTCTGATCTCATGCAGTAGCTCTCCCCAAGATCCTGATGTGTAAAACTGGTTTCCCCCCCTTTAAGGGAAACTGGCAGCTTCTCTGTATTTTTCTGTTGCTTCCCAGTTCAGTTGCTCATAATACTGTTTGTTAGAAATTGTTTCCACGTGACGCATGTTGCCTACCTACGACGGAGTATTAGGGCCAGACTAAGAGAAAAAATTCTAATATTTGGGGGGGAAATTATGAGAATAAATCATAATATGAGGTCTACGAGAATAAAGTCATAACATTACGAGAAAAAAGTCGTAATATTACGAGAATAAAGTCATAATATTAGGTCTACCAGAATAAAGTCGTAACATTACGAGAATAAAGTCATAATATTAGGTCTACCAGAATAAAGTCGTAACATTACGAGAATAAAGTCATAATATTACGAGAATAAAGTAGTAATTTTATGAGAACTGTCAGCCTGTTGGCTCAGCCAGCAAAACTGTTTAACGACGAAATTATCAATACGTTAGCTTACCTGTGACTGTACAGTATGACTGAGACAAACAGCGGCTGCTGGGCTCAGGCATTCTCAAGCGTATTTCTTCCACATACCCTCTCCATGCAAGTAGGGCAGTGTTGTGAGATACCTCACTCGGTTTTCAGAGAACCGGGGTTACCCTGGTAACCAAAAGTTCTCTTTCAAACCTCCCTTGGTATCTCACTATGGGAGATGTGGCCCACTCCCGATTTGCATACTCCGAAGCCCACAACACCACCACAAGCCCTCCCCATGGGCTGGCACACAATTTATATGAACCCACACTCAGGACTGAGTGCGCCAGTTACATCTAGACAGTAAAACCGAATAAATGTGTGTGGGGATGCCCAACTAGCAGCAGCACAAATGTCACCCACCGTCATGCCCCTGAACAGGGCCCATGAGGTGGCCATCCCTCTGGTGGAATGAGCCCACAGGCTCTCCAGGGGCTGCAGTCCACGACTCTCATAAGCCAGGACTATAGCCTCCACCACCCAGTGTGACAGGCGCTGACAAGTCAAAGCCTACCCTCGGTGAGGAGGGGCCCAAGACACAAAAAGGTGGCTACTTTTCCTTAATCCCTTAGCCCTGTCCACATAGATGCGCAAAGCTCTAGAGCTGCCTCTCACTCTCCCATGCAAAAGGTGGTGGGTGAAAAGCCAGCAGTTTTAGCGTCGGGCAGCTGTAAGCAGACTCGCTAACCTTAGGCACAAAAGCTGGGTTAGGGTGCAACATCACTTTCCCATAGTCAAGGGAAAATTGCAGACAAGATGTGTGCACAGACAATGCATGTAATTCACTTATCCATGTAATTCACATATCCTTAGCAACAGGATAGTTTTGAGAGAGAGCAGCTTTAAGTCAGCTGACTCCAATGGCTCGAAAGGCAGCCCTGAGAGTGCCTCCAAGACAGTTGGCAAGTCCCATGAAGGAACTAAAGGTTTACAAGCTGGTCTCAAGCGGCGAGCTCCTTTAATAAACCTCCTTACCAGAGAATGCTGTCCAATCGCTGCATTTTATATTAGCATATTAGTCTGGCCCTAATACTCCGTCGTACCTACCTGACTTGTAACGTTCAGTTCACAACAGATTTGAGATGTTTGATCTTTTATTATATGGCCCAAACATCAGAGAATCGTTTTTAGAAAGTTTGGTACCTCTTATAGAAAACTTTTGGTTACCAGGGTAACCCCGGTTCTCTGAAAACTGAGTGAAGTATCTCACTATGGGAAGCGCCTCCTGGCGTGACCAATCGTGGAAGCTCCAATAACGCCATGTCTGTCCTGAGAAAGACCAATCATCTTCAGATGCACAGGCCTGCCCGTCCTCCCTTATAAACACCCCTGGTGCCACCACGCGGCATTCTCGCTTTCTTCCCCGTGAAGATCATTTGAGCAACTCAGCATCTTGATAGCTTGATATTCATTTAACTGCTCTCCGACGCAGCCTTCACGGTAGTCACCGAGTGTGGATATCTGGGGTCAGGATATTGTGAGTGTAATTCTTTTGTCAAAAAAGATTTTAGTTATTACCAGTTCAGGTGGATAATTATGTGTTGTGGCGGGTTTCCATCCTGAGCTTGGTATTGGATCAAGCTAGCATCCCCTAAGGGGACCGCTGGTGACGTCGGGTCCTGCCCTTGCCCGGTCCGATCCCCTCTGCATTGCCTGTATGGGGGTGAAACATGCTCAGACATCGCTAGTGGACTCCTGTGTGTCCTGTGAGCACTGTTGCACCATGCCGTCGAGGATTCTGGAGTGCTGCTTATTTGGCTACGGCCAGCGCTTGCTAGGGGATATGGTTGAGGAGGACAACGCAGAGTTTCCTCTGCTGTTCAGCCAGCTCCTCGAGGCAGGCGGTGAGGACGACGAGGATATTAATCTAAATCTCCTCGGTGATGAGAATGATGAGGATGATGAAGATGCCATTATCCCTTCGGTTTGGCTGTCGCGGCCCAGCAGCTCCATTGGCGAGGAGGTGCAGCATTCCTCTTTTCCTCGAGAGGTGGACCTGCACAAGCTGTGTAAGTGAGCGGCGGTCAGGTTGGCTATTGACTGGCCCGCGTTGCAGGACGACAAGGGAGAGGAGAGGGATTTGTATGATGGCAAAATCCTGCCATCTGGTCTCCGCAAGGAGTGCATGAAGGAGATGAAGAGGTATTGGGAAAAGCCCTTCCGCCACAGAGTTCCCATCAAGGGTTACTCTGGCCTGGATGTCGCTAACAGCGAGGGTCTGGGGCTCGGGGATCCCCCGGCGGTGGAGCAGGCGGTGGCATACCATCTCCATCCCGACCGCTGGTCCACTATCGCCTCGGTGGGACCCGCCCTTCCAGGTAAAATGGAGTGCTTCACCGCCTTCATGTACCAGAAGATGTATAAGTCTGCAGCCCAGTCGATTAAAAATCTGAATGTGGTCACCCTGCTCACGGCTTACCAGGACAAGCTTTTCCAGGACACGGGTCATCTTTTAGATAAGGGCTCCCCAAGTCCGACTATTTGGGAGGAGATATGTGTCATCACGGACCTTATTCTCCGGGTGTCCAGAGGCGCGGTACAGGGCTGTGGCCTTGTCATGGGCCTGGCTGTGGCGGGAGAGAGATTGTTGTGACTAAATTTCTCCAGCCTGCCAGACCAGGATAAGCAGGTCATAATGGATTCTCCGTTCGGTCACGGGATAAGGGCTTGTTTGGTTAGGCTGTTACCGCCATGCAACAAGCTAGCAACCTGAGGAAGAAGCAAGGGGAAGCCTTTGATCTCTGCCTTCCCCACAAGACAGGGAGAGA